ACGCTGCTTCCAAATCCCGGTCTGTGATGCTGCCATCTATGAACAGGAAAAAGAGGCGACGGTTTTGAATGAAGAATACGAGATCGAACGAGCCTCGCTCGCAACCCGATCCTCACCGATCTCTCCGACATGTACTCTGACACCCTCGCGTTCCCCGGAATTGCTGCGGCTGCGAGTTCGGCTATGCGACCGTGACCTGCTATGTCGATGGCGATGATCCCGCGACCGACTCCGAGACCTGCTTCGACTCTTGCTCAAAGACGTCGAATGATGTCCTCGCTTCTTCGACCGACTCGATGATCTTCGCAGTTCCTCGTCCGAGTACCGTGGATTGTCCTTCTCAGCGGCATACCGATCCTCGTCCCCACTTTCTCTAGCGTACTCCGCCATCTACAAACAGCTAATATCCTTGGTGACTCCATCCCGATGCATTCCACGCGTTTACATATCCTCACAAACACCAGAAACAACACTCTTCTGCAAACAGTTACTCAAGTAATGAAAAAGCGACAAACAACAAAACGTGCACTTACGAATTAGGATTGCAAACGCTCGGATTTACCAGATTTGACGAACTTCCGAATCTCTAATCTTATCCTATACCTGACACGGATTAGTTACTTAATGTTATACTGTAAATTGCAATTAACACCTCGCTAAATTTCGAAGCGAAACATATTTTACTTGACTACTACAGTAAAATCTGTTTTGCTCTAAGCAGATACGATACAAGTTTATTTAAACTTACTTAATCTTTGTATTATTCCGAAACAACTAAATGTTGCATCTAGCGCAGCCGTTAGAAAACCGATATTGTATGGCAGTGAAGTAAGGCCGTGCAGACTAAAATATCCTAAAGACTTCTGAAGTATCCACTCAACTCAGATATCACAGGAACCGGCTGGCTTACAGGTTGATACGCAACGTTGTATGCATACGCCCAGTGGATGAAGCAGCTAATATTCATTATATTGGGTTTATGCTCCTTTGCATGTCTTCGTTAAAGCATGTCGTTTTTGAAGATTTGTTTCAGCTGAAAAAATTTGCAGCTTTCTCTGTATATTTAAGTTCTTCAGTAAATTCATACAGTGTTTAGGACCCTTATAGAACCCATCCATCGCATGATAGATGGGATGGCTTGTGTCTGATGTTGCTGGAATGTTCTTTCTGCAGTATTGAATACCGTAAAATGTTTCGTCAGAGTGGTTCACATATCGGCAGGTACAGCTGCTCATTCGCTGGGAAGCCAACATCGACTGATAGCGAAACAGGCTGTAGCATACATTAATAGCAGCCCATGATGCACTTCAGTCATTTGCAATGTCTTTAAAATCCATTTCAAATTTATCTTATATTTTCATACTGTCTGAGCTTTAAGTAGCAAAAGAGTTTTCATAGAAAGTTCTTTACAAGTCATGAAGAGATATCTGTCACTCGTTATATTTTTCTCGCTAACCAGTCGCTTTGTCTGCACTCTAATTACAACAATTAGGTAACCCACTTTATTATCGATTAAGTGGCATATTATCGGTGGTGCGAATGCCGCAGCTTCTCAATTTCATAGTACGGCATGACTAATCTCATAACGGGTATTAGCAGGAGTTCGATAAATATTAAATAGCCGTAACTACTTTTCAAAGTGCGTGTGGAGTCTGTGAAATAATAATATCAGGTTCTTCAAACATCCATTAAATTGCTTAATATTTTCCTAGAACGACTAGAGAAACAGAACTGCATCTCAGAGTTTTGAATATTGTCCTAAATTATCCGGCATCAATTCTATCTACAGTTTTTACTGTCAGTTACTAACAGCAGGTTTATTGGGCCCAGTTAGAACATCGTTTACCACTGGCATTGAACTTTTCGAACGTAGCATTACCATGGAGTCAAATGAAGAGAAATAGACATGAAATGTGGCCAAAAACTCCTCGCGTTCTTTATGAAGCCCTTTCAAGATGGACTTAACAAAGAAACAGCCTTTT